CTCTCGTGCCCTCCCGGCCTCGGGCTCCAGCAGCCCCTGTGTCTCCCCAGCTGCCCTCGGCAGCGAGTCTGACTGAGATCAAACTCCTCTCAGAGGCTTGTGCCCCTGCTGGGCGTGGCACTGCCAGTGATTAACCCCTGGCACATGGGGTCTGCCAGGCCGTAGGCAGCAGAGAAAAGTCCAGTGTCACCAACAGCCCCAGCGCTAGGGTAGGCTGGGCACAAGCCAACAACACGCACTGTGATACGGCCAAAGAGCGTCGGCCATGCTTCCAGCCCAGTGGGGGGTGGGTGTCTCTCCAGGGACGCAGAGACGCTGACAGAGTGCAGGGGGCCATGGGGGATAATCAGCTGGACGTGAGCCCCCGTGCGACAGTGTGGCCAAAGGCGCTAAGGATTCCCAAACAGGGGAATTGCACATAGAAGCAGAGAGGTCAGTTTATCTCTGGATTTGGCACTGGTGCGACCGCTGCTGGGGTCCTGTGTCCAGTTCCGGAGCAGTCCAAGAAGGATGTGAATATATTGGAGAGGGGGCAGAGGGGGGCCACGCGAATGGTTAAAGGATTACAAAACGTGGCCTGGAGAGATAGACCCAGGAGCTCAAGCTGTTTAGCTTTGCAAAGAGAAGCTCCCACCTCCCAGGGTGACTTGCTCCAGTCTAGAAGCACCTACGCGGGGATCAAATATTTAATAATGGGCTCTTCAGGCTAGCAGAGAAAGCTCTAACGTGACCACATGGCTGGAAGTTGAAGCCGGACACATTCAGCCTGGAAAGAAGATATCCGTGTTTACCAGAGAGGGGAATTAACCATGGGAGCAATGTACCAAGCAGCGTGGTGGATTCTCCCTCGAGGTGGGATGTGTTTCTAGGAGATCTGCTCTCGTTCAAACAGGAATTAACTGGGGGCAGTTCTCTGGCCTGTTATCCAGGAGCTCAGCCTTGGTCCCTCCTGGCCTGGGAATCTACCAATCTCCGCCATGACTTCTTGGAATCCGTCTTCTCGCTCTGGTGCTGCCCGGTGGACAGGGACACAAAGTGGGCAGGTAAACTGAGTCACGCAGCTTGTTCACAGAAATATTCCCATGTTCTCTCGCTCCTCCCCAGACTCCTGCTGCCAGGAAGGGGCACACCTGGGCTAGAGATCAGCCGTCCTCCAGCAGAGCCCTACTGCTCTGGGTGCCAGGTCCTGACCCAGTAGGTTCCCCCCACTCAGCAGGTCTGGAGAGATGCAGCGACTCCAGGAGGACGTCACCTGCTCCATCTGCCTGGATGTCTTGGATGATCCCGTTTCGATCGAGTGCAGCCACAACTTCTGCCGGGGCTGCCTCGTGGCTCACTGGAGTGGGGTCTCGGCCTGGGGACCCCGCTGCCCTGAGTGCCGGACTCCCTGCTCCAGGGACAGGATGACCCCAGACACGCGGCTGAGAGCCCTGGTGGAGAAAATCACAGAGCCCGTGCGGGAAGAGATGGAGCCGGTTAGACCAGACAGGCAGAATCAGGGGAAAGGGGCGCAGGCTCTCACAGGACCCAGGGTGGGGACTGGCTGGATCAGGGGATGGGGAATGGGACACGGGACCTTTCCTCCCTAGGGGACACTGCCTCTGATTTGGGGGGCAGGGGACTGGCTGGCTCACGGGGGGTGGAAATGGCTCAAGAGTATCTGATCTGAGGGGCAGGGGCTAGTTGGTTCAGGGGATGGGAATGGGGTACGGGGCTATGATCC